TAGTGGTCGCAGTTCGCGTCAGCGTCCTCCTCCTGTCCCTGGCACGCACCGGATGTCTCTGCGTCCGTCCACTGCTCCTCTGCGTGCCCCTTTGCCCTCTCCTCCTGAGTCCTCTCTTCCTGTGCTTGCCGACCCTGAGTCGGACTCTCTTCGTGCTGCCAGTCCTACTGTCACGCGTCTCCTTGCTACTATCGTCACTCACCCCTCCTTTGAGTCCACTGCTGCGTCTGCTCTTGTTGCTGAGCTCGTTGACTTTGCTGCTCGCTGTCGTCTAGACTACGCTGCTAGTCTTCTTGCTGAGTCTGCGTCTGTCTGTCCTCCGTCCGTCGGGGGTGAGTGTGCTCTTGGCACGGACGTCCTTGAGGACAGGCAGGAGGAGTTTCAGTGTCTGGCTGCTGCTTCACCTCATCTCGCGTCTGTACTGCTTGGCCCTGAGGGAGACCCGGATGCACTAGACATCCCGACCCCGCGCTCTTACGCGGAGGCCGTAGAGGGTCCCTACTCCTCTCAGTGGCAGGTAGCTATGGATGCAGAGATGGCTTCCTGGAAGTCCACAGGCACCTACGTTGACGCGGTTCCCCCTCCTGGGGCGAACATCGTCAGTGGGATGTGGATCTTCAGGGTGAAGCGGCCGCCGGGCTCTCCACCTGTCTTCAAGGCGCGGGACGTGGCTCGTGGCTTCAGTCAGCGGCAGGGAGTTGACTACTTTCAGACCTTCTCTCCCACCCCGAAGATGACCACTCTTCGGGTGCTGCTGCACATAGCCGCTCAGCGCGACTACGAGCTCCACTCTCTTGACTTCAGCACTGCTTTCTTGCAGGGTAGCCTGCACGAGGAGATCTGGCTGCGCCGTCGACCTGGCTTCACTGGGACTTTCCCTCCTGGCACCCAGTGGAGCCTCTGACGGCCAGTCTACGGTCTCCGCCAGGCACCGCGTGAGTGGCACGACACACTGAGGACTACGCTTGCGGCTCTTGGGTTTGCTCCCTCTACTGCTGACCCGTCGTTGTTTCTGCGCACCGACACTTCTCTGCCGCCGTTCTACATCCTCGTGTACGTCGACGACTTGGTCTTTGCCACAGCGGACACTGCTGGACTTGCCTACGTGAAGTCCGAGCTGCAGAAGAGACACACGTGCACAGACCTGGGTGAACTGCGCAGCTACCTTGGCTTGCAGATCACTCGGGACAGAGCACGCCGCACCATTACCTTGACTCAGTCACACATGGTGTAGCAGGTCCTTCAGCGCTTCGGCTTCACGTACTCCTCGCCTCAGGCCACTCCTCTGTTTACTCGCCACTCGCTCTCAGCTCTGCCTTCGGATGAGTCCGTAGAGTCGAGTGGTCCGTACCCAGAGCTTGTTGGCTGCCTCATGTACCTGATGACCTGCACACGACCTGACCTTGCATACCCTCTTAGCATCTTGGCACGCTATGTTGCTCCTGGGAGACACCGACCAGAGCACATGGCTGCAGCGAAGAGGGTGTTGCGCTACTTGTGCAGTACGTCGGGCATGGGGCTAGTGCTTGGAGGGCGGAGTCCAGTGGTCCTCACTGGGCACGCGGACGCTTCTTGGGCTGACGACCAGGCTACGCAGCGGTCGTCACAGGGTTACACCTTCAGTCTTGGTTCCGGCTCTGTTTCGTGGCGGGCTACTCGCTCGTCTTCTGTTCTCGGCTCCAGTTGTGAGGCTGAGATCTACGCTGGGGCCATGGCTGCTCAGGAGCTTCGCTGGCTCACCTACCTGCTGACTGACCTTGGAGAGCCGCCTCGTTCTCCTCCAGTGCTGTACGTAGACAACAAGGCCATGCTGGCCTTGTGTCGAGAGCAGCGCCTGGAGCACAGAACGAAGCACATTGCTCTCCGCTACTTTCTTGCTCGTGAGCTGCAGCAGCGTGGTCAGTTGCGACTTGCGTACGTGGCCTCTGAGGCCAACACTGCTGATGTTTTCACCAAGGCACTTCCGCCTTGTGATCATCAGCGTTTCTGTACTGAGCTGGGACTTGTCCCAGTCTTGCCTCACTTGCTCACCTCTTGACCTTACTTGTACTCTTGCATATATATATACCTGCTCTTGCTTGTTTAGACTTATATATATATGTCTCCTCCTGCATGTGAACTGGCCTTGTGGCCTTGACCTTGTGCTCAGACTGTGTGGTGACCTTGTGATCCACCCTGAGTTTGCTTTGCTTGACTGGTCTTGTGACCCCTTGTTCTCCCCCACTTTGCCTATGGGGGTGTGTGAGAACATTATAGCTTATGCTTTTGTGTAGGCTATAGTGGGGTATCCCATAGGGGGTACAACCCAATTAGGGTTAGTACTTGTACCCACTTCACTCATAGTTCATTCATTCTCGTTCGATTCTCACATGTGGTGCGCCGACGGCGCAACTACTGCAGCCGCGTGTTATAAGCCAAATTTGCGGCTCGTGCTGGAGTGGCTCAGCAATGCATGGATGAACATTGGGCCTCGTGCCGTCCAGTGCTGCTGGTGGCGCACAGGATATCTTCCGCACGTGTGGGCCATGTCTCTCCCGCACGTAGGAGTCGACAATGGCAACAACGACGGCGTAGGCGGCGGCGGGGGGAATGCGGCCGACATCGGCCTCGACGAGGAGGTGCATGATGTTAGCCTCCTCATTGACCGACTGTGCCTCGGGCCGAGCGCCACGGCGGCCGCCGATATCGTCAACATCGACGACAACCAGCCCATCTGCGCCGAACCGGGCGAGGACCCGCTTGCGAGGGAGCCGGCGTCGCATGCGACGCCCGTAATGTGGGAGGCGCTTGATAACATGCAGGCTGTATACGACGACTGCAACCCTACGTCCCGCGAAGCGCGGCGCACCGCTCGGGCTGCGCGCGAGATGCTGATCAATTACGCGCGGGTGACGTGCATCACTCCGCGCGACCTTTGCACCGTGTTCGACATCCGCAACCCAATCATCGTTGCACGGATGGAGCGCGCGAACCGGTCTCTCAATCTCAACCACGCCCCATCCCCCGCCGTAACTCACGCCGATACCCCGCCGACACCCCGCCGCCTGTGACTCCTCGCGCGGTCGGGTGCTTCCGGCGTGGATGTATGTGCCCACCCCTGACTGGATGGAGCAGTCTGCCCGCCGCCAGGAGCTTATCGATGCCGGTGCACCCACCGTGATGAGCGGTTACCTGGCCGCCGCAGAGTGGATGCGGATGTGAGAGAGGATTTGTACCCCTTAGAAGTGTTGCATTGCTCCTCTAATGCATTAGGTGTACGTCTTGTGCACATTTGCAGAATTGGGACGGATGTCGGGAAATTTGGGTTGGCCGCAGGTGGTGCTGCTTTATTGGGTGGAAGGACCGAATGTGGTGTTTGTGACAAGTCAGGGTGTGAAATGTAATAGGGTGTGAATAAATGGGCAAAAAAATGGTAACCATGTCTACGAATATATAACAAACTAAGCCAACCCACACAGTTTAGGGAAAAGAAAAGCATTTTACAACCTCTGCCTTTTAAGCGCACGTGATGGCCGTGGCGAAATCCATGAAGTGTCCGAATTGCCAAAAGCGCTTATAAGGCTAAAGTACAAGGCAATGCTGGGTGCATTTATTGCGCATCGGGTGTATTTGTCTACGTTGAACATACCAGGCTGATATTCTTGGTCTGGCAAATGCAGCCAATCGTAATTCACCACTCGCCGAGCTCCAGGTCTGGACGAAGGACGTCCGAAAACACCCGACAAATCTGGCTCCGCCAAGCCCAAGGTTTCGCGCTGTGGTCAGGGCGCCTGAGGTCAGTTACCCTACGTGACCAATATCTAGGGACATTCTGAAAGCGCAACCACGACATTCCTTCCACACTTGAAAGGCCACTAGAAATTAGTTTGGCATTGTTATTAAAACATTTCAGAGATCTCGATGGGCATTCTTGAGGTTCGAGTCGGGGACGATTATGTACACCTTAAAATACTGTACAGCCACCAAGTCTGTACGTGCAGTTCTGTCCGGCAACTCGTTTGCCCCCCCAACCTTCCCCCAGTTGGCGGCACCGCGGTGGTGAGCGGAATTACGCTTGCAAAACAATCCCTTTTTCCCGCATCTACCACTGCTAGGGCAATTTCCCTTTCCGCCACGCGACACTGATTCTGCGGGCAGAGACCGGTGACATTAGTTGCTGTGCGCGCCTGTGTGGTCCGGCGACTGGTTCGGGATCGCAGAGCGATTGGGATGGCGGGAGGGAGTCAGATTGGGGGGCAGGGCTGTTGCGGTGCTGTTGCTTGCTTGCAGCCCCTGGAGCGCGGGAGGGCCATGGCCTGAAGCGGGGTTGCTTGCAATCGGAACGAAACGCACGCAACGCAACACGGGCGACCTGACGAGCTTGCCCTAGCTTGCATGCTGCCACTGTCCTAAGGTGACCTAAGAGGCGCCTAACGCGCCTCTGCCAGCAGCGATAGTAGTTAATGTTCCGTTCCATAATCCGAAGCCGCGTAAGAATCGATTTTTTTTTTTTCCGGCAGTGGCCGTGCAATGACTTGAGCACTGATTGTAGCTGATTGTAATAACGCAACGCGTTTCCAACCTTTCACTCATTAAAATTAGGGTAACCCTAATTTAGCTCGTTAGTTTTAGGGCAGATATGATAGTCGAACTAGATCATGGCCGATCGGGAGCAGTGTTGCCTTTTACGCGAATAATACATAGTAGGAAGGCATCGAAACTCGATGAGATCGTGTCGCTACGGGAAATCCTTTCAGTCCTTTCATCACATGAACGCACTGATACAGTCTCAAGAAAGATCGTCTAGGATCGCGATCATGCGCGTCGGCAATCAGCGTCGAAGTTCCCTTCACAATCAGCAGCAACTTCCTTGTCCGTATGTCCGTTAGTCTTTCCTAAGTGCTATCTTTGTTAATATCCAGGTTTTCCCATTTCCAGCGCATATGCGCGCCGCGTTTAGACCATTCGACGGAAAGCGTTAAAGCGCTACTTATATCTGATCGAGCCGCGTCGTTTCTTCCATGTCCGTGTCCGTTAATGGCGTAGCGCCGCTGCAAGTGCGCCTCGCTGACGCCACTGACGGAGATGCAGACGACGGCGCAGGCGGACTGTTAACCGCGGACTTTCTGGCGGGGGCAATGGCGGCGGAAGGGGGGAGGGGGATTTCCGCCGACTGGACGCCCGTGGAGCGGGGCGGAGGGAGTGGAGGAGGCGCTGATCCGCGGCGGCTTCTGGCGGAGAAATGGTCGGAGAAAGTCGTTGGCGCGGGTAGCAGTGCGGCGATAGCTGTGGGCGGAGCCGCGCCAGCCGTTGTTCCGCCTGCTTCAGCAACTGTTGCAACGACTTCCGCCTCCGCCTCTGCTTCCGCTTCGGCTTCCGCTTCCGCTTCCCCCGCCGTTCCCGCCGCCGCCGCTGACGCTGCCCCCGCCGGGTCTGTAGCAGCGAGCGGAACAGCAGGAGGCGGCGGGGTGGTGGAGCCGGGTCGCAGGGAGAAGGTCAGGGGGCAGGGGGGAACCCGGGGGGGTGATGACGTGGCGGGCCGACGGATCACAGCTAGTGACTTCAGCGAGACGCGTATATCGAGCGAGGCGCTAACGGCAGGTTCACTAGAACTAGTCTGCGACGGCACTGGCGGGGCAAGCCGAGGGGCAGGAGAAGCAGGAGGGGCAGGAGGGGCGGAGAGAGAGTCTCGTGAAGGGTGTCAAGTGCAGGGTAGGGGGAACGGAAGGGCTCAGCGAGGGGGGTGTGCTGGATCTGCGCCCCCGGCTTCTCCGCAGCAGCTGCAGGCGTCGTTACGGGAGGCTCTCGCGCGCATATCAAGGTGCCTCTGTCGTTCCCTGCGACCACCCCCCTCTTAGGAGTTAGATCGTGTGCGTCTCATGACTTTTGAGTCGGACTCAAATGGCGACAGTGCGGCGGGACTTCCCTCGGGTGTCTATCGCGGTACCTCTGTCGTTCGCTGCGTGAAAGTAGACACGGCCCTAAACAATACTGTTTACGCGGGGCGCTCGGGCGTATGTCAGCGTGCATTTGCCTTTCGCTGCAACCGCCCTCGTAGATCTCGTTCGCATCGTGTCTCCAGCCGTTCACGCGGGCACTCTTCGCACGGCTAGCTCAGCGCGTGGTCGTTAAGGCGCGCGAGCGTCGCAGCGCACGCGCGTGCGACCATTGCCGCGTTTTCTCGTAGACGACTCGTTTTTCGCGTCGAGAGTCGTGCGAAGCGAGGCGTCGCCGCGTGCGATAGGCAGGAAGCAGTTGGGATCAGTGGGGATCAGTGGGCATCAGATCGGATCAGGCGCGTACGTGACATGCGCGAATCAGGTCTTTAGGCCTCATTGAACGGTAGCGAGAAAGCGGCTCCTTTCTATCCCTCGTCGCACGTGCGGACAGCCTGCTCTCTTCAAGTTCGCGCCGTCAGGCATGCCTTCCTTCGAGGGCCGCGGCGGCTCGCCTGCGCGCCTCTTTCGCTCATCTTACTGCCGCTCTCTCGCACCGTGTATGCGGTTTTCGCGCGCACGTTCCTTCAGCACTGCTGCGTGCTCCGCGCCCCGCCAGTGCAGACGTGTAGCGCGTGGAAACCGCGTGGAAGGAGCGTGGAAGGCGCGTGGGGGTACGCGCGCAACGCGCTGACGGCACACTGTCCGCGTGCGTTGTAGCTGTCAAGCGCGTGTGCCCATCTGTGACCTGCGCTGCGCGTTGATTCGAAAGCATGCATTAGTCCGCGTGTGTCCGCTTTTGAGAATTCTCAAGAGCGAATCAGCCAGTCCTTGCTGTTCCGTGCGCTGAGAGTCACGACCGCTCGCAGCCACTCCCTCCCCGCGCCCCTTGCGCCGCCTGTCCTTTCCGTCGCGCGCGCGCGCGGTACTCGCGCTCGATCCGCTATGCGCGCGCACCTCCCTGCCTGCGCTGCGCCTCCTGCGGGGTACCGCGTTTCGAGACCCGTTGGCTGGGTGCAGTAGCGCGCGGTCTTGCGCGGTCAGCTCGTCTTAAAAAACTTGGAAGGAACGAAATTCTCAATGTTGTGCGAGTTCAAGTGCGCGTCACTTTTTGAGAATTCTCAAATGTGCAAGTGCGCGTGCGAATGAGGATCTATCAACGCTGTCTGGTGTGATGTGTCGTTTCAACCCCCTGTCACCACTTCCGCCCCTCCCCTCTCCCTTTCCCGCTTCCCCCGCGCGCCCTCCCCCTTTCCCCCACCCTTTCCCACGCTCCTCTTCCCTACGTAGCGACCAATCTCTCTCTCCTCCGACCAGCCTCCCTGCATGCCTCTAACCCCGCCTCACTGCCCCTTTCCCCGCCCCTGTCATGCACGCACACACGCCATTCATGAATAACAGGAGGCTCGCCGAGATAGCACCAGCAGCTGTAGCGGCAGCGGGAGAAGCAACGGAAAGACCAAGCTCGGCAGCAGCGGCAACAGCGGGAGCAGCGGCAGCGACAGCAGGGGGGGCGGCAGTGCGTGCGTGGTTGGTGCGGGCGGAGCAGCGAGTGGATGCCGGCGAGTATGGCAGCTGGGATGCCTTCCAGGTGCGCTGCTGCTGCCTTACATACATACATCCTGTGGTGAGCGGTGGTGAGAGGCTGTGGTGAGTGAAAGCCAAAGGAGAGAGGGCCGCGAGGGGGCTGTGATGCAAGGCCGCGAGAGGGCCATGGTGAGTGAAAGCCTGTGGTAAGAGCCACACCCACCCAGTCAATGTCAGCTACTTGCTTGCACCGTCAGTGTGACCTGTGTCGTTCCCAGCCCCTTCATCCGCAACCCCTTGACTCCCCTTCCACCTCTCACCCCCTGCGCGCAATGAACCAGGCTGACTACCAGGCAATGTGCGCGGAACTGGGTGGGGGAGATAGCTCTGGCCAGGCCGCACTGCTAGCTTCGGATATCGCCGTTCCAAGTGCGTCAGCAGCAGGATCAGGAACAGCAAAAGCAGAAGCAGTGGTGCCGTGTCCCTTAGCAATGGGCTTGTCAATACTGCAGCAAGTGCAAAAGGAGCTGGAGGGTTGCACTAGCACTAGCACATATGTAGAGCCTAATACTGACACCATTGGTAACCACACAGGTTCACTTAGCAGCAGTGATAAGCAGGAGGCAGCAGTTACTGACAGTAACCCTAGAAAAGAAGGCGTTTCTGGTAACCGGGTAAACTCAGGTGCTGGAACGGCCTTTAGTGGAGAGCTGACAGTGCCGGCAGAGCGGTTTATGGGTAGAGAAGCGGCGGTGGTGGATGGAGGGGATGTAAAGGCTGCTAAGGTGGTTGTGGGCACGGGGCAGGCTGAGGTGGAACCGGTGCCAGCTGCTGCTGCTGCTGCTGCTGCTGCTGCTGCTGCTGCTGCTGCTGGCGCTGCTGCTGCTGCTGCTGCTGCTGCTGCTGGCGCTGCTGCTGCTGCTGCTGCTGGTGGCGCTGCTGCTGCTGCTGCTGCTGCTGGCGCTGCTGCTGCTGCTGCTAGTGGTGGCGCTGCTGCTGGTGCTGGTGCAGCGCTGTCTGCTGCTGCTGCTGCTGCTCTGCGTGGCGAAGGCAGTGGCAGTGGTGGCGGTAGTGGCGCTGCTGATGCGGCAGGCAGGCAGTCGGCAGAAGGAACAGCAGCAGGTGTGGCAGCAGCAGGCACGGCGGCGGGTGTAAAAGCAGCAGCAATGACAGCAGGACTAACAGCAGGTGCAGGCGTGCTAGGAAGAGTGCCGGAGGCAGCAGCAGCACCAGTGGCCACTGCAGAAGCAGCTACAGCTACAGCAGCAGCTGCTGCAGCAGCAACAGCAACAGCAGCAGCTGCAACAGCAACAGCAGCAGCAGCAGCAGCAACAGCAGCAGCTGCAACAGCAACAGTGCCTGGTACGGCAGCAGCGGCACCGGCAGCAACGGGCGCCACAAGAGCAGCAGGAATTGTGAAGGAGTCAGGTCACGCAGCAGAACTGCCCTTTCTTCCTTCACACACCCATGCTGCTGCCTCGGCTGCTGCCGCTGCTGATGCTCCACCTGCTGCTGCTGCTGCTGATGCTCCACTTGCTGCTGCCACTGTGCCCGCCATTGCTGCCACTGTGCCCGCCATTTCTATTGCCCGTGGAACTGCTGCAGGGGAGAGTACTGCATCTGTTGCTGCTGCACCTGCACTTGTCTCTGCTTCTGCTCCGAATGCTGTAGCTTCAGCTCCAGCTGCTGCAGCTTCCGCTCCAGCTGCTGCAGCGGCAGTGCCAGCAAGAGCAAGTGCAAGTGGTGCCGATGCGTCAAGAGTGCCTGTTTGCGCAACCACAGTTGCGCAACCACCAGTGGCGTTGCCAGCAGAACCACCAGTGGCCCGACCAGCAGCAGTGACACCAGCAGCAGCAACACCAGCAGCAGCAACACCAGCAGCGGCAGCAGCAGCAACACCAGCAGCGGCAGCAGCAGCAACACCAGCAGCGGCAGCAGCAGCAACACCAGCAGCGGCAGCAGCAGCAGCAGGTTCTCCTGTGTGCGCTCACCCAATGTCAGGAAGGTCATCCAGTGTAGCAGCCCAGGTTGCACCCGGTGCTGTCAGTGCCCCTGCTGCCATGCCTGCTGCTGCCAAGCCTGCTGCTGCCACGCCTGCTGCTGCCACGCCTGCTGCTGCCACGCCTGCTGCTGCCACGCCTGCTGCTGCCACGCCTGCTGCTGCCACGCCTGCTGCTGCCCTGGCCACTACTCCTGGTGTTATGGCTCCAGCTGCATGCCCTACTGCTGCCACTGCAGCACCAGCACCTGCAGCAGGTGCTGCTACAGTTGCTGCTATAACTGCAGGTGCTGTTACGGGTGTTGCTACAGTTGCTGCTGTAACTGCAGGTGCTGTTACGGGTGCTGCTGCCGCAGGTGTAGCAACGGGGACGGGAAGAGGGGCAGGAGCAGGGACGACTGTAGCAGCCGCTGCTACAGCTACAGCCATAGGTGGTCCTGCTGGCAGGGGCGGGGGCAGAGTTATTGCACCACCCAGCAGCGCCACCGCTGCTAGTTCTCTGCAACCCCATGCCAATCCCTATCCCCATGCCCCTGCCGTCCCGTTTTCCCATCCCCATGCGAACCCGTATCCCTACTCTCATCCGCATGCCCATGCGCAATCCGCTGCGCATGCGCATGTGTTTGGGCGTGGCAGTGCGCATGGCAGTGCGAGTGTGCATGTGTATAGCCATCCTGGTGGTGGGCAGGCACGCGAACATGACCATGTGCCAGGCATGTCCTCACATGCACCCATGCCGCCCACCCCACTTGTAGCACCTCCAAGTGCTGCTGCTCCCAGTGCTGCTGCTCCTAACGTGGCTGCTAGTGCTGCTCATAATGCTGCTCCTAATGCGGCCGCTAGTACGGCTGCTGGAACTGCTGCTGCTGTTCGTCCTGCTCCCCCCCCAGTACCAGCCGCTGCAGGCAGGGCAGGTGCGAGCAGCAACACCACAGCAAGGCACAGGACCCCCCCCCCTACCCTCCCATCCCCTCCACCGATCCCTTCCCCCTTCAAGATACCCCCACCCCCACGCTCACTCCCACGCCCACGCCCACTCTCACGCCCACCCCCACGCCCCTGCTGCCCCCGCTCCTCCACCACCCTCTGCCGCAGCAGCCGCCGCTGCCGCCGCCGCTGCTGCTGGCGGTGCTTCGGGAGCAATGGGGATGGGGCCGATGGGGTTGGTGGGAGGGGGAGGCATGGTGCGTGCACCTCTGGGTATGGACAGCCAAGCTATGGCCTGCTCCAGCTCCTTTGGGGATTCCCTTGCTTCTCTGGGGCTTGACTGGGAGGACGGGCGCGACGGGGATGCAGAGGGGTTGGGAGAGGTGGAGAGTGGTTTCAGGAGTGTGAGAGAGGCAGTTGGTGGAGAAGGCGAGGAGGAGAGAGGTGGGGGTGGGTTGAGAGGGGAAGGTGGAGGGGCGGGTGGAGGGGTGGGTGGGGAGATGGGTGAGCAGGATGAGGATGGGCGCGGGCGAGGGAGAGGCGATGCTGCGGTGGATGCAGATGGCAATGGTTCACATGCTTGGTGCGTTCTTCCACTCTTCCATCCTTCTACTCTTCCATCCTTCCACTCTTCCATCCTTCCGTTCTTCCATCCTTCCGTTCATTCGTTCTTCCAGTTCCCCGTCCTTCCAGTCCTCCGTTCATCCATTCTTCCTGAATGCTTCACGTATGGGTGACCCCTGTCCTCACTGCTGAGTCGACCCAAAAGTCACCCCTTGCGTTTTTTTCCGTTTGTCCGTTCTTCCGTGCGTCCGTCTGCGCTTCACTTCTTGGTCTCTCCTTCTGTCCTCACGTCCCCATCCTTCTCCTCCTCCCCCATGTATCCCCCCTTCCGCGCTCCCCCACTCCAGTGCACGGGCGCAGCTGAATCCCGAGTGGAGGACGTATCGGCACAGCATTGAGTGGCGCTGCCGCTGGCTTGAGCTGCGAATGGCAGAGCTCAAACGCAGAGAGCAACGCTACTGCACCTTTCTGCACCGCACTAAATTGCACCGAGCCTCTCTGCTGCAGCAGCCCAGACAGCAGCAGCAGCAGGAGGAGGGGGCTGTGGCTGGTGGTAGTGCTGCTGATACCACTGCACCTTTTGCTGCCACTGCTGCTGCCGCACAGCAGTTGCAGCAGCGCATGCTTCAGCAGCAGCAGCAAAACCAGCACCAGCACTTGCAACAGCAGCAGCAACAGCGGCAGGAGCAGCAGCAACAGCAACAACATCAGCAGCAGCAACAGCAGCAGCAACAGCAACAACAGCAACATCAGCAACAGCAACAGCAACAGCAACAACAACAGCAGCAGCAACATCAACAACAGCAACAGCAGCAGCAGAAACAGCAGCAGCAGCAGCAGCAGCAGCAGCAGCAGCAGCAGCAGCAGCAGCAGCAGCAGCAGCAGCAGCAGCAGCAGCAGCAGCAGCAGCAGCAGCAGCAGCAGCAGCAGCAGCAGCAGCAGCAGCAGCAGCAGCAGCAGCAGCAGCAGCAGCAGCAGCAGCAGCAGCAGCAGCAGCAGCAGCAGCAGCAGCAGCAGCAGCAGCAGCAGCAGCAGCAGCAGCAGCAGCAGCAGCAGCAGCAGCAGCAGCAGCAGCAGCAGCAGCAGCAGCAGCAGCAGCAGCAGCAGCAGCAGCAGCAGCAGCAGCAGCAGCAGCAGCAGCAGCAGCAGCAGCAGCAGCAGCAGCAGCAGCAGCAGCAGCAGCAGCAGCAGCAGCAGCAGCAGCAGCAGCAGCAGCAGCAGCAGCAGCAGCAGCAGCAGCAGCAGCAGCAGCAGCAGCAGCAGCAGCAGCAGCAGCAGCAGCGGCGGCGGCAACAGCAACAGCAGCAGCCGCAACAGCAGCAACAGCAACAGCAACAGCACCAGCAGCAACGGCAGCAACAGCAGCACCAGCAGCAACAGCATATGTACAGTTCTGCCGCTGGTGCTGCTTCAGCAGTCCCCACTGCAACTGTCACATTACAGTCAGATTTGCAGACAACAGCAGCACCAGCACCAGCAGTCCCCCGTGCTTCCTCTGCTCCCTCTCACCCTCCCAACCCGCTGCCTCCTCCTCCCGCCTCCCCCACTACCACCCTTTCCACGGCCCCGTCTCCCTCCCTTGCCTCTGCCTCCACCTCTGTGCGTGCCGCTACTGCACCAGTTCCTGTGCCTCTTACCGGTCCCAAACACCCATGCCCACCTCACCTCTCCCCGTCTCCCCCTGCCGCTGCCGCTGCTGCCGCCGCTGCTGTGGCTGCTACTGCTGCTGCTGCTGGTGTTCCTGGTTCCGCTGCTCCTCCTGCTGCTTCTGCCCCATATCCTCCTGTTGCGCCTGCTGCATCTACTGCTGGTGCTGGTCCCCCTCGGTTACGCTCTGTTACTCCTGCTCGATACCCATACTCACTCCCTCCTCATTCTGTCACTCCTTCACACCCGCACGCTCCCTCACACCCGCACACTCCCTCACACCCACACACTCCCTCACATCCACACCCTTATGCACCCTCACACCCTCACATGCCCTCGTATCCTCGCACACCTCCAATACCACGCAGTGCCCACCACACAGACCACTACCCTTACACACACACCCCTCTGCACCACTCTTCATCCCTCCTCTTACATCCGTTTTCCAGCTACCCCTACTACCTCAACCTCTTGCCGTATGGTTCAATTCCAGGCTCGCTTCCTATCCCTACAGCATTAGCAGTAGCAGCACCTCCAGCAGCACCACCCGCAGCAGCACAAACAACAGCAGCAGCAGTGGGAGCAGCAGCATCAAGAGGAGGAGGCGGAGATGGAACAGCAGCAGCAGCAGCAGCAGCCCCAAGTGGAAAATTACAGAGTGAGGTGGCAGCAGAAAGCATTGCAGCAGTAGAGAGAGGAAATGGGAAAGGCAGGGCAGAGGAGGTGGCGGGAGCAGCTGGGGCAGCCAAGAGGGAGCCTTTTTCTCTATCAACAGAAGCTGATGCACAAGTGGTGACACAAGGCATGGCAAGGCAAGGCGCAAGCCCTCCTGCTGTTGCCGCTTCTAGCGCTGCACCCCCAGCGGCATCTGCTCCGTCTTCTGTTCCTGCTGATGCTGCCACCGCTGCAGCAATAGCAGCACCAACAGCAGCTGCCGCTGCGGCAGCAGGTGAGGGTGCATCGGCAGTAGTTCCAGAGGCAGGTGCGGCTATTCTTAGGGCAGACAACCGGGACAGCAGAGAGAGCACCAGGCTGGGCGAAAGCAGAGGGAGTGCGTGGCAGGGCGCTGGGGGAGGATCGAATGCGGGGGAACAAGGGGGCGATTCGAAAGGGCGAGGGGGAGGTGGAGGGAAGGAGGTGGAGGAGGCAGCAGCAGGGAGAAGGGGGGCAGGGGCAGCAGGGGCAGAAGGGGCAGCAGGGGGGGACCATGGGTCGGCGCGGACAGGGTTGGCGTTTGTGGGGCGGGAGAGGGGGCGGCGGGGGGTGAAGCGAGTGATGGTGCGCGTGCCGCATGTGCGGGCGGAGATGGCATACAACGTGGATGAGTACCTGGCCAAGCACCCCCTCTTCTCCCGATACGGTGCGTGTGCCCTCCTGCTTGTTCCTGCCCAAGCACCCCCACCTCCCTGCCCAAGCACCCGCTCTTCTCACGATACGGTGCACATGCTCATGAGCATTTCCCTGCTCCTCCACACATATTCCCGACTCTCCCCTCTCCCCCTCCCTCCCCCCACTCCCCCCACTCCCCCACCTCTCTTTCCGTCTCCCTCAGACGACTCATTTGAGTCGTTTCTTGCTCTTGATTTCAAAGGTAGCTTGCTTGCACCGCGTCGTCTCTCCATGCCTCATCCTCACTCCCTTCCGCATTTTTGTTCCCTGCCTCGTCCCCCCCTTCTGACGTGTCTCCCCCCCTGCCTCATCTCGTCTCATCTTCCCCCCCATGGCCTCTTTTCCCCTCATGTGCATGTGCATCCATATACACGGCATGTGCATGTTATGTGCGTGTGCATGTGCATGTTATGTGCATGTGCATGTTATGTCCGTGTGCATGTGCAGAGAAGCGGGTGCGAGGGGAGGAGCGTTACCCTGGGCTGTTGAGCACACACGGCGCCCCCGCACACTCCTTCCCCCTCGTGCCTTCCCACTCGCCCTTCCACACCTCCCCCCGTGAGTCACGTTCACACATGCCGCTCCCCCCTCACCCATGCAACTGCCCTCACACATGCCACTCCTCATGTCTTGTGCTTGTTGTCACTACTTACTCACTCCCCCAGCATCATGCCTCCCACATGCCTCCCAGATGCACCCTGTAACACAAACTCTTAGCCACAATTCTAGTCAGCTCAAATCTTGTTACCACAAATTCCAATTCCAAACCCACTCCCTCCCTTCTTTCCTGTACCCTCTTCCCCTCCTTCCCCACCCGTTCACCTTCCTGCCCACCCTGCTCTTCCAACTCTTTCCTTGCAGAGCAAGGCTATCCCCTCGTGCCATCGCCCAGCCACACCCACACCCACTCATACACCCACACAGAGGCGCGAGACTTGTCTCTCTCCCGCCCCTTGCACCCATCCCCATCACCATCACATGCCATGGACCATGGGCATGGGCGCATGGGGGGGGAATGGCAGGGGGGGCGGGGCGCACAGGGGGAAGGCGGAGCAGGCATGCACTTGGGGGGAGGGGGGGGGAGGGCCGGGGGAGGAGCGGGAACGGGGAGGGGAGGGGGGGGAGTGGATGTGCGGGGTGGGATGGTGGTGATGGTTGGGGAGGAGGAAGGGGAGGCAGCCGAGCACTTGCTGTGGCGCTTGGAAGAGCTGCAGGTACTTCACTCACTCACTCACTCACTCACTCACTCACTCACTCACTCGCTCGCTCACTCGCTCACTCACTCATTCGCCGCTCACTCACTCACTCATTCGCCTGCTTGTGCTGCTGCTCTGCTCCCTGCTCTCTACTCCCCGTTCCTCGCCTCTCCCCACTCCTCCCCTCTCTCAACCCGTCCCCTCAACACTAATCACTCACTACGACCCGTGTCCCCCCCCACGCCTGCCTTCCCCCCTGTATGGCCCACCCATCACTGCGTGCGTGCAGGTGCGGGTGCGTGCACTTTCTGCCCAGCTCCTGCGATCTGCCTCGTCGGCTCCCACCGCCCCCTCCAACCTGCCACTCACTGCTGCCGCTCGTGCTGGTGGTGGTGGTGGTGGTGGTGGTGGTGCTGTTGCTACCGCCACACCGCACCAAGCAGCAGCGGCAGCAGCAGCAGCAGGGGTAGCAGGGGTGCGGGGGCCAGGGGCAGCTGCACGTCATACCGCATCAGCACCTGTATCAGCTCCCAGACCCACCACCGCAGCAGCTGCAGCACCAGCAGCAGCAGCAGCAGCTGCCGCCACTCGTGCTGTGGGTGGCAGTGCTGCTGCTACTCCAATCCCCCTCCCACCTCCTCCCATCCCTGCCGTTTCCTCCTCAAAAACCGTTTCATCTGCCCGTTCTGCTCCGATCCAATCAGACGGGTCTTTTCGCCTGGGCAGGGATGGGGCAGGGCGGGAGGAGCAGGAGGAAGCAGATGGTGGCGACGCGTTTTCTGCAAAGCGGGACCCTCAGGGGAAGGGCCGAACGCATGCCACTGCGGTTGCAGCAGCAGCCACTGCAGCTGCAGAAGCAGCAGCCTCTGCCGCAGCAGCAGCAGCAGCTGGTGCTGCTGGTGGTGGTGGTGCTGGGAGGCCAATAAGTGCAGCTGCTCCTGCTGCTCCTGCTGCTGCTGCTGCCGTTAACAAACACCCGGTAGCACCAGCCGCAGCTGCTGCCGCCGTTGCTGCTGGTGGGGGTGGGGTAAGCAGTCATGTACGAGCGTTACCAGGTGCAGAAGCAACACCGGGAGCAAGAGCAGCAGCAGGAGCAGGAGCAACAGGAGCAGCAGGCGAGAAGGGAGGCAGTGGGGACTCAGCATTACGAGCTGCAGCAGAATCAGACGCCCCTTCCTCCTCTGCTGCCGCCGCCGCCGCCGCGGCCGCGGCCGCCGCTGCAGCCGCCGCGGCTGCGGCAGCGGCAGCAGCAGCAGAGGAAGCAGCAGCGCATGAGAGTGGGTATATGGACGGGCAGGAGCTGGGGGTAGAGCTAGAGGTCCATGGGGAACTGGAGCTGGGGCTGGGCGGGCTTGGGGATGCTTTTGCTCTAGAAGGGTTGCTAGACTTTGATTTAGATGATCTGGTGCTGCCGCTGCTGCTGCCGCCTGCTGGGAGGAGGCAGAGGAGACGAAGAGGGGGTGAAGGAGGGGCAGATGGGGATGGGGATGGGGATGGGGATGGGGAGGAGGACGTGGAGGAGGGAGAGGAGGAGGAGGAGGAGGGTGAGGGTGAGGAGGAGGTGGGAGGGGAAGGGAGTGGGGAAGGGGAGGAGCGGAAGGAGAGAGGGATGGGAGGGGAAGGGGTTGGGGGATTGGGAGAGGGGCGGATGGGGGGGGTTGGGTTTGGGGGAGGGGTGGAGGGGAGGTTGAGGTACCATGAGATTATTGACATTCCGCGGTGGAGAGTGGTTGTGAGGGGCGTGAGGAGGGAGTGGAGAGCGGGGCAGGGGGGAAGACGGGGCGATGTGATTGGTGCGCAGCAACAGACTGTTGGTGCAGACGGGTCAATGGCAGTGGGGGGACCGGAGGAAGGACGGGAGGGTGGGCAGGAGGGAGGGCAGGAGGGAGAACGGGAGGAGAGATGGGAGCGGTGGTCTGCAGCAGTGGCGACTGGAGGGAGGTATGAAGAGGGGGGTTGGGCAAGGGATGGGGGAGGGCATGCGTCGAAAAGTAGGGCAGAGGGAGCATTGGTAGGTAATGGAAAGGGTGGGGGAGTGGGTGGAGACGAAGAGGGAGAGGGGGTGACGGAGGGAGGAGTGGAGAGAGTGGATGGAGCACTTGGGTGTAGGGAAGAGGGAGGGGGGGAGAAGGGGGGGATGGGAGAGGGGAGGGCTATGGTTGAAGGCAGGGCAGTGGGGGAAGGGGATGATGTAGATGAAGGGAGGATGTATGGGGTATGGCATGGGAGCATGGAGGAGAGAGAAAGCAGGATGCTGTATTCGCATGTGCGTCAGCAGCAGCGACATGAACAAGAAGAACAACAGCAGCAGCAGGAGGGGGAGAAGGAGGAGAAAGAGGAGGGACAGCAGCAGGAGCAGCAGCAGGAGGGGGAGAAGGAGGAGAAAGCAGAGCAACAGCAGCATCAGCATGTAGATAAGACTAGTTCGTTTAGCTCAGCCGCTGCTGCTGCCCCTGATCCTTCTGCTTCTGCAGCTTCAGGTGACAAGAACGGCACGAGTGGGATAAATGGAGGCAAGGCGAGGTTGAGTGGAAAAGAGAGGGTGAGTGGAAGAGAGAAGATGAGTGGAAACGAGGAGTCAAGTGGAAAGGAAGGACGAGGTGAGAGAAGTGAGAGTGAAGCTCAAAAGCAGAAAGCTGGGGGAGAGAATTCCAAGGCAGGAGACGAGGTGGGGGAGTGGGGGAACGGAAAAGGGAGCGGGCGAGGTACGGCTGGTGTGTGCATGTCTGTGAGGGATACAGGACAGGCGGCGACCCACAAAGCACATGAGTCTGGGGAGGATACCGGACAGGGGAGGCATGAGAGGCACGAAGGCCTTGCCCAGCCGCAGCAAGAGCGACTCGCACCACAAGAGCAGGAGCATGCGCAGCAGCAGCAGCAGCAGCAGCAGCAGCAGCAGCAGCAGCAGCATCAGCAAGAACAGCAGCAGCAGGATGTGAAGGAGCAGGAGCAAAAATTGCCAATGCTGGATGAGCCTGTAGGAGTGGTGGGGACACACGAGTCGGCTGACAGAAGCAGCCTTGCACCACGTGCTGCTGCTGCTGCTGCTGCTGATTGTGGCACCAACGTTGTTGTTGCTGCTGCTGCTGCCGATGCTGATTCCTCTGCTGCTGCACCTCCTGCTGCTGCATTCGATGGTGCCGGCTGTGCTGGTGCTGGTGGTTGTGGTGCAGCGGAAACACAAGGACCCAGTGGTGCTAGCACTAGTGAGGCCCGGCTGCATTTACCCAACAGCACCACCCTTACTGTCGCTTTGCCCTCTGCTGCACTTATGGAGGACGCTAGGGACGGTGTGAAGGACGGTGTGAAGGAGTTGAGAGTGGTTGAGGGGTTGGGCGGTGCCGGGACAGGAGAGGAGGAAACTGTTGGTGGTGCCGCTGCTGCTAATGGTGGCGAGTGTATGGGTGAGGGAAGGAGAAGTGAGGGAAGAGGAGAGGGAATAAGTGAGGGCGGAGGAGAGGGAGGAGGTGAGGGAGGAGACGGAGGAAGAGGGGGAGGAGGTGAAGGAGGAGAGCGAGGAACAGATGGAGGAGAGGGAGGAGAGCGAGGAGAGCGAGGAAGAGTGGGAGGAGAGGAAGGAGGAGTGGGAAGAGGGGAGGGAAGTGGAAAGAGAGGGGGAGAAGGAAGTGGAAAGGGAGGGGGAGAGGGAAGGAGACGGGTAGGGAGTGGAGGCGAGGGAGAAAAGGGAGGCAGCAATCCAAACAGCAGCAGTAATGAAGGGAGTAGAATGCATAGGAATGCAGAGAGTGTGAGCGAGGTGAAGAAATCTTGTGATTCGACTGCTGTGCCTGCTGCTGTGACAGGTATTGTTGCTGGTGCTGCCAGTGGTGCTTACGACACTGGTGGCAATGCCGTTGCGGCTGCAAAGGTCTCTCACCGTGTTCCTAACCCTCACCATGCCGCCTCTGCCTCTCGTCCCACCTCTGCGGCCTCTCCTGTTCGTCCTGAGGCAGCATGGGGAACGGAAAGGGGGGTTTTGGGAGAGGAGAAACGATCCGGAGTTGTGATGGACAGGCGGAGAAGCGAAGGCGGGGGGCATGGGGAGTGGCAGAGAGGACTGGAGGGGAAGAAGGAACGGGACGAGGAGAGTAAAAGGGAGGTGGGGAGGGAAGGTGGGGTGGTGAGGGAGGGGAGGGTGGAAAAGGGGGGGAGGGTGGAAAAGGGGGGGAGGGTGGATGGGAGTGTTGAATTGGAGGAAGAGTGGGGATTGAGAAGAGGAAGGGACGAGAAGCGTGCTAAGGGTTCGGGTGAGGCTAAGAGAGACAGGGATGGGGGAAGAGAATGGGAAGGGGGGATGAGAGAAGGGAAGGCAGGGGAAAGGAGAGCGGAAGGGAAGGGGGAAAGGAGAGGAGAAAAGCGGGGGGAAAAGCGTGGGAGGTTTGGGGGGATTGTGCTGGGAAGGGTGGGGTCACGAGAGGGAGGTTTGGAAGAGGAGGAAAAGAAGAGTATGCAGGAGAATGTGAGGAGGGAGAGTGAAGATGGTCGGGAGCGAGGCGATGGTGACGGGAAGCAAAAGAGAATCAAAGAGTCACCTGGCGAGTCTGCTTTTGATGGTGGTGGTAGGGGTGGTGGTGGTGGTGCTGCTGCTGCTGCTGTTGGTGATGGCTTTGCTGGTAATGATGGTAGTAAGAAGGGAAAGCTAGTGGAGGTTAAGGGGAGGGCAGAGGAGAGGGGAGATGGGTTTGGAGGAGCAAGAGGTATGGAACGAGATGTGGCAAGCACAGGTAGGGGAGGATGCGTGGGAGAGGGAGGGGAAGCGAGAAGAGGTGGAAGAGGAGAGGTGGAAAGAGGAGAGGGAGTTAGGAGAGAGGGGGAACGAGGAGAGAGAGGAAGGAGGGAGGGGGAAAGAAAAGAGGGAGGTAAAAGAGAGGGGGAAAGAGCAGCGGGGGGTAGAAGAGAGGGGGAAAGAGGAGAGGGAGGTAGAAGAGAGGGGGAAAGAGGAGAGGGAGGAAGGAGGGAGGGGGAAAGAGGAGAGGGAGGTAGAAGAGAGGGGGAAAGAGGAGAAGAAGGAAGGAGGGAGGGCGAAAGAAGAGAGGGAGGAAGGAGGGGGGAGGAAAGAGGAGAGGTAGGAAGGAGGGAGGGGGAAAGAGGAGAGGGAGGAAGAAGAGAGGGGGAAAGAGGAGTGGTAGGAACGAAAGTGGGGAGAAAGGGAGAGGGAGGAAGGAGAGAGGGGGAGAGAGGAGAGGGAGCAAGGAGAGAGGGGGAGAGAGGAGAGGGAGGAAGGAGAGAGGGGGAGAGAGGAGAGGGAGGAAGGAGAGATGGGGAAAGAGGAGATGGAGGAAGGAGAGAGGGAGGAAGAAGAGAGGGGGAGAGAGGAGAGGGAGCAAGAAGGGAGGGGGAAACAAGAGAGGGAGGAAAAAGAGAAGGGGAAAGAGGAGGGGTGTGGAAAGGACGAGGAGAGGTAGGAAAAGGAGATGGGGGAAAAGCAGAGGATGCAATGGGCGAGGGAGGAAAGGAAGGGGGCGAGGGAGGAAGGGAAGGGGGAGAGGGAGGAAGGGAAGGAGGAGAGGAAGAAAGGGGAGAGTTAGAGGGAGGAATGGTAGGGGCAGGTGCAGTGGGGAAGAGGAGCAGAAGCAGGAGCAGGCATGAGTTACACGTTGGGGTAAGGGAGGGTGGGTCACCGGGGACTCTATTTCGACTTGAAGTGCCTCGCAGGAAGAGGAGGAGGACGGTTCGGAACGGTTGCAGCAGCGGCAGCAGAGGTGCTGAGGAGGGAGGGCTGGTGGGCGGAGGGGAGGGTAGGGGCGGAGAGGAGGGAGGCAGTAGCAGCAGGGATGGAGAGGCGGATGGTTGGAGGAGTGGGGGGTTGAGAGGCGTGGAGGAGAAGAGGATGAGAGTGGGGGTGGATGTTAAGTTGGAGATAGAGGGAGGGGTGACGGTGGAAGGGAGTGTGAGTGTGGAGGGTATGGGGGAGGTGGTTGGTAGTGTGGCTGTTCTGGGTTCTGGTGCTTCTGCTGGTGCTGCTGGTGCTGCTGTGAGGTCAAGTTTCTACTCTCGAGAAACTGAGGAGGAGAGCGAGGAGGAGGAGGTGGAGGAGGAAGAGGAGGAGAGTGAGGGGGTTCAGGGGGCTGGGAGCAGGGTAGACGACAGGCATTTGCTGTTGCGTGCGTATGGCGATGGCGCAAACGACAGCGATGGAGGGAGGGGTGAGGACAAGGACGAGAAAGAGGAAAAGGAGGAAGAAGAAGAGGAAGAGGAGGAAGAGGAAGAGGATGCGGATGCGGGCAGTGATGATTGGTTCAGCCCCAGTGAGGAGCCGACAGGGCGCATGGATAGAGGCATGGGGAGGGGGGGCTCGGGCAGGGGACGAGGCAGGGGGAGGAAGGACAGGCGCGGAGGAGGGAGCGGTGGGAGGGGGTCCAGAGGGATGTCTGGTGGTGGGGATGGTATTGGGAAGGTTAGCGGAGAGGATGGGAGTGTAGCATGGGGGAAAGTAGGTGGTGGTGGTGTAGGTAGAAGTGGGGGAGGTGGTGGGAGGAGAGTAGGTGTGGGGGAGAGTGGGGTAGTGGTGGGAGGTGGGAGGGAGATGGTGGGTTGGGCGCGAGGGAGGCGGACAGTGGTTGTGAACAGGGTAAAGGGACGTCTGGGTGAGGAGAGGGAAGCCGAGGGGCGAGGAAAGGAGGGGAGAGGGGGGCGGGAAGGGGAAGGGGAGGTGGAAGCGGAGGTTGAAGGTGGGAGGAAGGGTGAGGAGGAATGGGGAGGGGGGTTGCAGAGGGTGGAGATGGGTGTGGAGGGGTGGGGCGGGAGGCAGCAGCAGGAGGGGGCCGGTGTGCATGGAGTGACTAGGGTGAGATCAGGTGGGGTGAAGAGCAGCAAGTGGGGTCGCAAGTAGTGCTGTGGGGATGATTGGGCAATGGGTAGTCAGTTGTATGTACGTGTAAATCTGGGTGGGTGTGGGTCGCAGCGAGCGAGGGTGTTGCTGCTGAGCTGACCACCTGTCAGCTGCTGGAGCATGGAAATGTGACTGAAAGGTGAAGCATAGCATGTTTCAGCCCTCTCAGCAAATTTCTGGGTTGTTCTCGCTAGTTTAGTGGTGGAAGTGAGACTCACAATAGGAGGGTGCAAGTTGCAACCCACAGTGCGCACATGGGTGCTGGTGCTCATCCTTGGTTCAGCAGCATGCAGAGCAGAGTGTGGTGGGTGGGTTCATTATCCTAGGTTATTGCTCGTGTGGTGTTAGGTAGTGGTGTTAGTGTATAGGTAGGTTGGGGGGAAAGCTGCTGCATTGGGCAATAAAGGTGAGAGTGAAATGCAGGCGTGGACGGCTTCTTAGAGCAACTTAATCATGAAAACAAAAACAATGAAGAGGCTTTTGTTGGAAGTTATGCTTGCAACAACATTCAGTCCATGTTTTTGTCCAAACTGGAGCGTGACACAACACAACAATAGAGGGAATGCGCTAGAATCCCCATCCCTCAACATTTAGCTCGCATTTGCGATTGCAGCCATTGGTCGCAATTCGCAACGGTACTAGAATTCTCTGCTACCCCCACTTGCGGTCACAGCAGGTGGCGCTCGTCGCACTTAATCTTCTGCAGTTTCACTCCTGGAGACTCCTCTTCTTCCTCCTCCCCTTCCGACGACGTCGACGACGGATTTGCACCCGCCACCTGATCCGTGCGGATAATCCGCCACTGGTGGTAGTGGTGATGAGAGTCTCTATTTGTTGATTGGATGCTATTTCCGTAGTAGAAATCCAGCTCCGCCCCCGATGCGCGGTTCTTAAGAACGACAAACTCCCCCTCCGTTTGCACGATCTGCCATTGATGGTGCGGGTCCTCCCAATTGCGATTATCCGCCGCCATGCGTTGCGAGCTCCAGTGGTCCAGAACGTTCTTTGTCGCGCGATTCTGTATCACGTGGTAACCATTCCCGCAACGTATCGTTCGCCAGTGCTGCTGTTCGTTACCGGGTTCCAGATTCGCAGGGACAACCTGCTCGTCCACCTGTGCGACCACCTTTTCCTTCACGGGACGACTCACGATGTAACTCCACGTACAGTCAGCGAGGAGATGCATGGTGGCAGGTCCGTCAATCGCGAATTTCTTTCAGACGTTTACTACTCTTAGAAATTTGGTGTCAAGAGCGTTGCTGGCAACGAGAGGAGCAGCAGGAAAGAGAATGTCCGTCTCATACGTGACCCCTGAGAGGAACAAAGGAGCCTTAACCACTGACTGGCGAGCTAACACGTTCGGAGTGCGGAGGGTTGTGGGAGCCTGTGACGTGACGCGTCCTTGCCAGTATCGATGTCCACGAGGGGGTTCAGCGTACGGGATTACCCATGCACCAACAGACATGCCAGTTTCCACGAATATCGCGAAGTCCAACGACGAACTATAACAGAAACATGCGAGCGAGCGCAAGAGAGCCAGTAGTCGCAACACAACAGATGGCACAACACAAGTGAAATAGAGCACTCGTGTTGTGCACGCCTTGACCCGGCTGTCAGAAAACGGCACTAGGAACGTATCATGATCCTCGAACTGGAGGAGAAAGGCTTGGATGTACAATTTGCGTGCCTTTTACAAAGGTACTGCGGAATGGGAGAATATGGCGAGAGGATAATCACAAAGAAACGGGGAAATATGCGGAACCTGCTGTATAATGTATACCAGAATGTTTTGGTCCCCAAACGGGTTTGAATTTGAATGGAACGCCTCATAACGCCGTGAAAGTACACCAAGTGACTGCTGTATTCCAGCATGCTCGAATTATGAAACATGCAAACAAATAAACATGTACCAGTCACCCCGATTTCTGCCTTTACCATCAACGCAGCCAACTCGGCCCGTATTCCTCATCTCCAGGTCCTCACTGATCGTTCTACCCTCGTACAAGCAATGAGCATCCCTCGTCACTTTCTCTAAGGGCCGTCCACCGTCGTACAGCACCGCCATGGGTTCCAATCACAGCAGGTCATTCTCGTTGCACTTGATTTTCTTCACCTTGACTCCCGGAGACTCCTCCTCCTCATCCGATGACGTCGCCGAATGTTCAGCACCCGCCACCTGATCCGCGCGGATAATCCGCCAGTTGTGGTGGTGGTGATGCAGGTCGTCATTAGTAGCCATGTAGCTACTTTCATACCAGAAGTCAAGAACGTTTCCCGATGCGCGGTTCTTGAAGGCCACGAATCCGCCGTCCACGTTTATGATCTGCCACTGGTGGTGATGGTCCGTCCAGTTGCGATTTTCTGCCGCGATTTTCTCCCCGCCCCAGTGGTCCAGAACGTTCTTCGTCGCGCGGTTCTGGATGAGGTGGTAACCGTCGCCGCAGCGAATGGTTCGCCAGTGCTGCTTCTTGTTACCGGCTTCCAGATCCTGAGGGACAACCTGGCCGTCCACCTGAGCCATCACCCTTCCATCCACGGCGCGACTCACGATATAGCTCCATCGGCGGTCGGCGAGGAGATGCATGGTGGCGCGAAAGCTACTCGAGGTAACTTGTTCCACAAAGGGTCCTGAAGGCTACAGAAGCAGCAGAAAAAATGAGGCAGGCCTTTCAGAAGTCAAGGCATCAAGGAGCTTTATGCTAGGTTGACATCACATCACATTCACATTCCCAGAGCAACAAAACACCCGCTAGGACGCGGTTGAAGTAGACGATCGATCGTCAGTGACGATCGATGTGGGGATTGGTTACCCTATTCACTATGCTGCAATCATACTACAGTACTCTTTTTTGCCAAAATTTCTGTACAGTGTGCGAATGCGAGTGATCACTGATTGCGGGAGGTCTGTCAATTCTAAAGGGGCGATCGTTACAACGTCGCGGTCGCCACGCTTCGCCAATCGATCTGCCCACTCGATTGTGAGCTCGATATTTGCAGACGATCCTGCGATATTTGCACTTGCACCGGCTCTTAGTAGATGTGTGGGGTGGGACTGTGGGAAGGACTCTCCCTATCTCTGGTTTTTGTGCGAAGAACTCCATCCAAACTGTCGCAAGTAGCGTGTCGCACGTCTGGCGAAACGTGGTGGTGGTGCCGCGTGCTCGATGGAGACTGCCGAAGTTGAAAAGGAAGGCTCGGAGAATCTATGTCGGACCAATGATAGTCCACCGAACACACACTTGAAGTCTTCGTGAAGATCGCGCGAAAGCGAAAATGGGAGAATTCGGTACAACGTACAGTACCACTTCATGCGAAGACCTCATGCAACACACCACTGGTACTGTACGGCACATCTTGACTGCCGTAACTGCTGAGTAGGCAGGTGCCAGCAACGTGGCAGGGTCTCGTAGGTGCTCGGAAGATAAATAAGAGCGTTCTCGACACTTGGGATAGGGGTGTAACTTTCTGTTATCTTCGTTTTAGCGTAACGCTGATGGCTGAGAAGCAGGCCCAACAACTATTTGTTAGTTTGCTACATCACGTCAATCTACCACCACAGGAAATCCAAGTGTCGAACGAGTGAAATCAAAGTACGGTGCTGAGAAAATGGTGTTTGAAGTTTTTTCACTGTTTACAAAATGCAACCCACATTTCCATGGATTACGGATAATTCCTAGACGGACCCATTCAGAGGCATACAATGTTGATAAACACAATATGGTACCGGGAGCAGTCTCTGCACAATAATATAGACTTCTAATTCCAACTGCAATTCTCTCAAAGAACTGAACCCACAAACACCCCACGGAGAATGTCCCTAACCAGTTCTTCGATTTCGTACGATTTGGTTGCAACCTTTGGAGGCATGTACGGTAAGACCCTTGAGCCACTTCATTCCTGACGCAATGATGTTAGCACCCCGCAATAACAGCTTCTCGAGGAGTTTCATATTCCTCAGATGCTTTATGCCCGAGTCAGTCACTCATAGGGGCAGCTTCAAATACTTGAGAGAAGTGAAGGCAGTCAGATGCTACAACCCACCTTCCCTCACTCCACTACCATTCAGTATGATCCACTGCAATGCTGTCATTCTGCCCACATGCACCATGCTGGCAAATATGACGGACACACAACAACGCATGCTTAGTGCCGTGAGGCCACAAAGCTCTTGCAATCTCGCCTCTCCAGCGTCTGTGATATCGGTATTGCTAACCTCAAGTGTCCTCAAATTCTTAACACATGCAATACCTTCTAGAGCGGCAATTGTTGTGCTAGGGGTACCAAGTTCCGGACTCACCAGGCCTGTGAGAGGGTACAGCTGCTGTCAGAGGTCCACCGGTGATCCCCGATTGATCATAGGGAAAGGTTACAGGCACGTTGGCCTGGAAGGTTATGGGCGCACTCACCCACTACACAAACAAGCCCTTTTTACCCAGTGGTTAGTAGTTGTGATTCTGACATGGTATTAGAGCTAAGGTCTCGGGTTCGAATCCCAGTGTGTGCATTTCGGGCATCCCGGTGCGAGGGGGTGTCAGAGGTCCACCGGTGATCCCCGATTGATCCTAGGGGAGGGTTACAGGCACGTTGGCTTGGGGGGTTATGGGCGGACTCACCCGCTACAATAAGCCCTTTAATCCCAGTGGTTAATGGCTGGGATTCTGACAGCTGCTTCATCCCGGCTGCAGTGAAGCCGGGGGATCTTCTAAGGTTGACGGATGTGAGCTAGCACAACGAGGCAAGGTGGGTGAGAGCTGTCAGAACATTATAGCTTATACATTTGTGTAGGCTGTAGTGGGGTAGCCCATAAGGGGTACAACCCAATTAGGGTTAGTACTTGTACCCAAGTGTTTCAGAGTTCATTCATCCATTCTCACTTCTCGTCATGGTATCGAGCAGGTTCCCGAATGGGAATACTGTCTAGGGCCCACCACGATTTTTTTCTTCCCTGCCCGGAGCGCGCTTCGCTCCTACTCGATTAGCGCCTCGAGCCGCCCTTAGTG